ATGCCAGATAGTTGTTGAATATATTTTAGATTCTCCTCAGTTCTTTTACGCATCTCACAGTGCAATGTTTCTGGTGTGCACCCTCCATTGAATTGACATAGAAGATTAACAAGAGATGTCTTTTTAATGCTAGGCGTTGAAGGCTTGGATTCAAAATCCGTGCATTTTTCCCGCCATTGAGTATAGGCAGAGGTCGAAGTTGTACATGATGTTCGCATTTTGATATTTTGTTGGTTAATATTTGATGCCTTTTATACAGCCTAAGTCCTTGCTAAACGAATCCTGTCATCTATACTAGTTCTATTAAAGAAGCCGTTTCGTGACCGATAAAAAAAGAGTAAGAGAAAAAGAAAAATTATGTACAAGACATATGCAAAAGCCAATATAAAATTCTGGGGCGGAGCTATTATCCTTTCACTATCAATAAAAATAGTATTATTTTCATAAGGGCGCATTGGAATAGGAAAAACAATTCCGTTTTCGGAAATGCCAATCATCGAACTAAAGAATAAAATTATTAAGTGCATTTTTTAATTTTTAGGATTTAAATCGCTTCTTATATAGTTTATAGCAACGCTAGTCGTTGAACAAATTTTCTTAGAGCATAATCACGTCCTTCAGCAGGTATTGAGTGCATTTTCTGTAGGACTTCTGAAAAATTCGCATAATGTGTACGCAATACTAAGAAGCAAATACAATAGTGTCCACAAGTATCCGAAAAAGGGGATTGCAATACGAAACGATTTTGTTTAATTTTTGAGTAGTTAGCAAGTAGCGATTGGCGCATCTCGCAATTAGGTTCTTCGGCAAACGAATCAAAGTATTCTATAACATTTGGTTCATCAGAATAACAAGCTATCCAATGTTCGCCTTTAGTTCCTTTACGCATTGTATTTGCAATAAAACAAAAATTCTTTCTTTTAACAGAGCTTGGTATATTATTCGAAGAAAAAACTCCAATAAATTTATTTTTTAGAGGTTCATATTTTTGTATAATTGTTTGAATTTGTAGTGAATTCATTTTTTTAAACAGATCCATCAGTGCTTAAAACTCTATCTGCATTTATGGATAGGATAGAATCAAATTCTCCCATAATTATCATTTCATAACCCTCCTCTCTTATGGGTTCATTAAAAAGACACCGTATAGTAGTTGTGCCCTGCCTTATGAGTTCCAAACCATTGGTGTCCTCAAGCGTTGATGTCATAGGAATAACAATGAAGCAAGAGGATTTTGAAAATTCTTCCATCCCTATACTAAGTGTTCTCTGGTCGGAATTTGGCCAATTATCGAGATCCATACCTGCATACATATCAACATATGCGCGAACGAAGTTATTATTGTCAAAGTCGAGCTCATATGGAATAGCTGGAAATAAAAAGCCTCCAAATTCTGCAGAAACTGAACGAACTTTCGCGTTTTCAAAAGTGAATGGAGAAAGAGTAGTTACACCTGTAAATGCAGGGGAGCTAACAAAACAGATGATCAAGCGTCTCGGACATGTACTTGTAAATGCGGCGTGAGTAATCTCCTGGCGTCCTTTTCCAAGAAAAACACTTCGCATTTCAATTTTTCTATATGCGTATTTTGCAGGTGTTTGCTCTAAATGTCTAGCTATTGCATTGTTTAAGGACATACTCAAGTCAACTTGCTTTACTGCAAGCCTCATGTCATGAAGACGTAGACGGTATATTTGAGTGTTGTCTACAAATTCTGCAGCAGGAGGTATTTTGTACTTAGGGGCGTGAATAAGAAATTCGTCGGTATTCTTATAGAAAGTCCAAACGACGTCGCTATGGGGAACGAGAAGTTGGTTTTGCCTAGCCAAATCATAATCTAAATGAGAAACCATTCTACAAAGCTTTCCTTTAGCAAATCTGGATTGACGAGATTTAAATCCTGAGCCTTCAAAATCATCTTTATCCACCGTATCCTTATAATAAAGTGAAGCCTCATAAAGGCCATTACTCATCTCACGATCCGCACTAAGTTCATGAAGAATTATACATCTGTAAGCGTAATGAATTCAGGAGTCATAGCATTGAGTCCCGTTAATTGATAAAGTTAAGCGACGAATCCACGTAAGTCCTAAATATTGAGCAACACTTGTGAAACGATCACCTTTGAAATCGCCCGAGCCGTCAGTAATAGGAACCCACTCACCTGTTTCGGCGACTTTTCTTTCAAGTGATAAAACCAAATTAAAATAAGTCTTGCTTAAATCAAGGTAGAGAGAGTCACCAAAGTAGCGAAAAATAAATGGACCGGCAGACTGGTTGAGGGCATTAAGGGGTAGTAGTTCCTTATATGCTGAACGCTGAATCCCTACATTTGTGGCGGGAACTGAAAAGAAGGATATTCTGTTATCAATTCCTTCTGCGCTATCCTTGTCAATTTTCTTTATTGATGTCATTTTTTGTAAATAATAGTTTGTTAGTTTACTTATATACTGCTTAGAAATCTTCTAAACTTAATTGGTCTTTATATCTTCGTTTTTTATATTTGGGTTGTTGCTTTGCTTTACCTTTACCACATTGCTGAAGCTTCTTACCAACTCTTTGTAAACCCTCACTACCTTGTTGTTGTAATGCTTCTTTTACAGATTTACCCTTAGCAACGTCTTCAAGCACGTTTCTTCCAGCTGTAACTGCTTCTTGTCCTGCAGTAGATGCTAGATTTTTGACAATAGGCATTAGAAAACGCCCAACGCTTCCCATTATGCCAAATCCTCGTTGATATCGGGTCCCTTGAAAATATGGACTACTGTTCACCAAGCCTCCTCCCTCTTGGGCATTCAAGAAAGGCTCCCAATCAATGTTATCCAAATCAACAGCTACGTGGGTCATTTAAAATAGCGATCGTTGAAAATGCAAGGTTATTATGCAAGTGCCCCAATGGAATTTAACAAGTTTTCCAGTCAATGTTCTAATTTCTATTGTTATATCAGGATGTCTTTTACCTTGTAGACGGTGATGATGTTCAGTCATATATACTTCTGAAATACTTTCTCCAGGTTTCCCACTTACATTTACAACCCTTAGAAGAGGAGCAGTTACGTTTCCTATAATGCTATTCTCAACTAATTTTGGTGCATATACTAATAGTTGGCGGACTCCTCCAGAAATGTCGGGCATATACTTAGCAACATGGCCAGAGTAAATTGTTTGAGATTCAAAACCAAGAGTATATGCCAGTTGTTTACTTAATTGAATATATTTTACATTGCCTTGAAACCAAAACCAAAAACGATTGTGAGTCAGGTCATAATGAACGGAGACCCATTGATATCGGGGATCTGCTAATTGAATTTTGCTGAAATCAAGAATTTTCTTTTGGTATTCTGGGGGATAGCCATATTCTGTAACTTCCATATTATCGGCATTTCTTCTCCGTCGAAAGACACCAGAACCATAGATTTTTCTCTTAGCCTCTTCATTTTCCTCCTCTAAACGTATTTTTTCAAGCTCTTTTTCCCATACGTCTAATAAAAAGGAATTTAATGCTGTTTCCAATGCTGTTTCAGAAGAAAAGAATAAATCTGGTATTTCAATGCGCGTTGAGCGAACTTCATCCTTATACGTTCTAAAAACGGTTATTGATTCAGATTCATTAGTGTCTGAGTCATCAAGTAAAGCAAAAGAAAACGGATAAATAATATTCGATAGAGCGACTGTCCATGTTGAATCAAGTTCAAGAGTATCAGGCATTCTAACTGTAAATTTTGATGTAGTATTTCCGTCAACATCTTCAGTGTTTGATGGCAAGATCACATAAAATGAATCCATTATCGAACAATATCTGTATCTTTAATCCAACTATTATATCGATCACTGTATCCTATCCAACGTACAAAATGTTTTACTCCTTCACGCGTTTTACGTGTTTTCAATATTTCAGCTATTCTGTGTGTGGTATCAAGAGAGGTTGGAACCAATTCTTCGCGATAGAATATTCCTTCAATTTTTTCTCCTTCTAAATCTTCGAGGCGATATATAGTAGGATTTCGGCTATCGTTGATTGACAAAATACGAAAAAGTTCGTCAGAATAATTGGGCAAATAACCTTTTTCAAATTTTCCTTTTTCTTTAGCGATTCTAACAATTTGTCCAGCGTTTAGTTTATGTTTTGCTTCTTTTTTAAAAGATGTATTCTTATATAGCCTTTCGAAAAGTTTTCTAGCATTTTTAAAATTTACAGAATTTGGAGTTACTCCAGTGACACGATTTACACTTGAATTTATGCCGTCTACAATATTTTGAACAGATTCTACCCAGCGAAGAGTATTTTTGTGGCTAAAATATCGATAGAGCCTTTCCTTTATTGTTCGATTTGCACGTTCGGCCATTGAGGCATGGACATCTGGGCTGAAAACAACGCGTTTATCAATATCCTTTGAATTAAAATATTCCTTCATTTTTTTGGCTTGGAACTCCAATCCTCGATCTGTATATAGTTTATGGGGGAGAATTCCATCATTCTTTTCGAAAATCTTTTCAAAGGCCTCGATCATATTCTCGGAATTTTTTGATTTTACTGGAGCAACAAGTATTTTTCTACTTAACACGTCAATACAAACCAACAAATATCTATACCCATCATTTTTCGAAGCAAGTTTATCAAATATTGCCAAATCACCCTGCCAATCTGTGTGTAGACCGCTTGGCCTCGTAGTCAGTCGCGGGAAACGTTTTCTTGCAGGGTAATGCATGGTATATACTCGTTGTTTATCCATAAATTCATGTAAATCCTGCATCGTTAGTTTAGGAAACTTTCGACGAGCCTCTTCAAAAACACGACGTATTCCCGCATAAGAGGCAGGTGAATCAAGTGAATAATAGACTTGTTCTAGATATTGTTCTAAAGTTTTTCCCATATTTTTGGAATAAATTTATTGATTATATTCGATGAATTTATAGGTCGGCCTTTTACAATTACTCGAACTCTATGCTGTTTAACATTTTTTCCACTTCCAGATTGGTTACTACTACTACTTCCATTATTATCTGTTAATGATTCCCTCACGCGTTGCACGAATCATTTCCTTAACTAGAGGATCTTTAGAAATTCTTGCAAAAAGAAAACTGAAGCCCTTAGTAATTGACGGCCGTTCACCTGTAATATAATCAAGAACATGGCTAAAATTACTTTCTTTAATGGTTCTTCCTCGAACATTAGTGTCAAAGGTCCCATCATCGTGGATCAGAAATTTTTCCTTGTTCTCACGAACATATCCCTCCAAATCATTTGCGAATTTTTTTGAAATAATTCCTTTGAAAGGCGACACCCTTCTTGAATAGTATCTCCTCTTAGGTTCAGAATCACTATCATTTAATTCATGGACTTCTTTTTGAGAATTTTCATGTATTGCAGGCATTATTGGTTTGCTGCTTTCAAGATATGGGATAACATCTGGCGAATCATTATTTTTCTCTTGAAGTATTACTTTTTGTGGACGATTTTCTATCTCTTGTTTTAATTGTTGTCTTTTCTTATACAATAAATTATATTTTTTAGCACGGGTTTCTTCGCTAATTTTTGGATCTTCAAGAGTCTCCATAATTTTCGCATCAGTTCGAGCTTTTTCAGTTTGCATAAAATCCGAATTTCCTTTTATCATGTTGAGTAGTGTAAGATATTCACTTTCAGGTACCATTATCATTTTCTTCGTATGCTTCATTCTGTGATTTTATGAACGATATGTTCGGCTAGAGCACCTAATATTGGTACTAGTATTGCAGCAAGTGCCGCACTACCTCCTTCTTGTAAACGTTTGCGAGCACTTTTTTCAGTTCTTGTTCTAGAAATTTTGCGGTAAAAATCAGCAAACTTGGCAAGTTTTTGCTTCTGTCTTCTACTTAGGGTAAAATTATGTTTTAGAACGTTTGCACAAATTTCAACAATTGATAAAATCTGATCTGCACTAGCTGTAAGTAATATTGCGTTTTTCTTTCTATCAGAACTAGTTTTAGCTAGTTGTTGAAGAAACTGAAAATTTTCTCTAATATATGGGCTATAATTAAGCATTAGTAATATATAAAATTTTTTGCTTATATATTCATTTTTATAAAGGTAAATATATACAAAGTTTTTCACCAGGAAATATATTCGTTGAAAGCCGCAGATTTTCTTCGGCATTGGGATGCATATTTATCAATAGATAAGAGAAGGGTTCTGAAGTAGCATCACGATAGGCCTCTAAAAAATAATCTAATCTTTTAGGAAATAGCTGAGAACCCATTGTTCTAACTTGTAATAATCCTTGTGGATTTTTTGTTAAAAGAATGTAATGAGCATTTGCTCTTGCAGTTTTAATATTTCGTCCATAGAGAGATTGTGTGACGAAAATAATACTAACATTCCAGTTATGAGATCCTTTTGTAAAGAGAAGATCTAGGAAATCGTTTTCAATATTTAACATAAGGTCATCAAGTATAAGAAGCTGATTTTGTTTAATTAGTTCAGGGTCTGGGACTCCATTATATGTTGTTATTCCCATTTGTTTAAGTTTAAAGATTGTCTCGTTCATTTCTCCAAAACAATATAATATTTTTTCTGGTGGAGGATCAACAAGCACATGGCAATTCTTAAGAAACTTAAGTAGCCATTGTGTTTTCCCGCTACCTGTAGCCCCAGAAATAATCATTGTAAAGGGTGCTTGAAACATTATTTATAAATTGTTTATTTATGTAGTTGATATATTTTTTGCTAATATAAACATCCTCATAGATATATATTTTTCTGTCTTTGATATCTGGCTTAGTGGTTTCGTCTTATGTTCTCTAATATATATCATATACCTGATTATTTATTAGAGGCATCTGGCATCCAACTAAGGCATTTATTAAGGACATTTTTACATTTAGATGGAATTACCTAAAGTTCAGAATGTAGTTTCCACAGTTACTTTAATTTACAAGCAGCAAAAATTAGATCTTGAATTTATTTCTAAACATCTTCAAAATTCTAATTATAATCCAAATAAATTTTCTGCTTTAATAATTAAAAGCACTGAACCCATTCGCGCTACAGCACTACTTTTTGCAACTGGAAAACTAGTTTGTGTTGGGACAAAATCAACATTATTGGCTAAGGAAGCTATAAAAATATTTACTGAATAAATTGCCAGTGTTCTAACGGAAGACTCAACGATTACTGCTGCAATGGATACTTTTAAAATACAAAATGTTGTTGCTTCGTTCAAATTTTCAAAAACACTTAATCTACCAGGTTAATTTATAAATAATATTAATCACAAGTTGTATTTAGCACTCTATGACTTTTTGAGAATTGGCGAGTCCGAATTGTTTGAAAAACATATTTCATTTAATCAGGAGATTTTTCCTGGAATGTGTCTGAGGATTAAAAATTCAAGAATTGTTGTTTTGCTTTTCACTACAGGAAAATGTATAATTACAGGTGCAAAGAATGAAGAAGATATTTTAGATATTTATCATAAAATTATCAATATAATTTCAATGTTTATGAAAAATTAAAATATGCATTCGTTTATTTCTTTTCGAAGTTGCATCAATAAAACGCCAAGTTTGTTGTCGCCATCCCAAGAGCTTGGATCACTCAAACGATGAAGTTGCGAAGAGCAAATACCACCTTCCCAATATTTGTTAACTTGAGTTGCTTCAGCGATCATCGAATTACCAGTTTCGCGAAGCTGCGATAGAAGTTGAGCATTTTGAGTGAATTTTGCCCACAAACCCATGTACATGATCTAAAATTTTAATCATTTGAAAATTCATTTCTTAAACATACTTTGTCTCTAACTTTATTCCATTCTTCAATTTTAAACCCGCGAATACGCAAGCCAATGCGATAAATTTGATCGGGATTCTGTAGATGAAGAATGTGTTCGGCAATTTCAAAGTCAGCAAAATAACGAGCTTTTTGCCAAATAATGTATTTCTCCAGAGTCGTAAATTGTATTCCAAGCACTGAGAATTTTGATGGAAATCTATTATTGAATCCACATTGACGGGACTGAAAAATAAAGACTTTCTGCCCCTCATTTCCCATTATTTCTGTTGGCGGCTGAGAATTATAACAAAGCGGTTGATGTTGTTGTTGTTGTATGTCCATTTTCATAAAAAGGCCAGAAAGATTTTCTAAATAAAAAATTGAATTGCAAAGCATAAAAAATATTCTAACCCATATCTGGATCACTGATCATTTGCTGAAATTCTAGAAGAAATAATTTCTATAAGCATTAATATTTTATATTTAAAAATAATAAATCGTTAATAAAACGATAAATTAGATAAAATTAAAACAAATTTTATTTCAAAACATAATTTATTCAATAAAGTCTGAAATTGGTTTTCCGCGATATCCAAAAGGGTAACAATCAAGTTCATCATCTATCAGCCCTTTGTCATAAATTGGGGCGTAGCGACTAAAGAATTAATTTATTCTTAGCAAAAATTTAAATTTTTACCGTTTTTGAGAGCGTGTAGTTACTTCTCCTTTGCGCCAATTAGGTCGAAAATGTGTTCTCTCAAGCATAACAGGGTCTTGATCTTCCCCATAAGCGTTGACCATTTTCTTAACTAAAATTATTTTGGCCGGGCAATTTAATTTACCTTAAATTGCTTGAAGTCTAATGGCGAATCAACGCTATCCCAACAACCACGACATTTGACCACATATTTTATCTCGCCAGTTTTGGTTCGCATTTTCATTGCGTACTATATAAAAATATTAGAATTTGAAAATTATGAATACTTGTTTGCAGCCTCCAATATAAATTGCCAAGATGTGATTGTCCGCATACTCTCGGCTCATCATTCCAAGCATATCTCCAATTTGAAACGGAGGATTCTTCCCTTTCGGATGTACGATATAACAGCTATCTGTATCCGTATAAAGTAGTTTAAATCCTGGTTCGTTGTAAATTTGTTCCATGTAGTCGTAGAGGAAAACTCTTGCCGTTGCTGTTGTTATAAGAGCTATTGCAATGTTGTATTTATTATGTGGACGAACAAATTCTCTCTTGGTCTGATAAGGAACTGCAAACAGATCCTTTCCCAGCATTTCTACAGCTCCAACTTCAAGTTTTGTATCGTTGAGTACTTCGTGTAATTCGGTTGGAGAACGGGTGATGAGATCCTCAAACAAAAAAGGTAAAAAGTTTTATTTTTCATTACCTTGGATAGATTACATCTCAGCGCCCAGCGTCCCCATCTGTTTAAATAAATAAATATTATATAAAATTCAACAAAAACCAACAAAGAGTTATTGCAGCATTTAGCAATATAACGCATTCCTTCATTTCTTGCAATCTTCTCTTTGTCAAGCTTTATTCCATATATTTGTTGATTTCTCGTCAAAAATTCATTTTTAAGGCGTTCCTCATTTTTTAGGTTTTTAGGATCAAGAACAGAGTTGGGCCAACCACTTGCTTGTATTTTTAACCTCATCATATCCTGGACGTAGGGACGCAGAAGTTTATCCGTCCAGTTTTCCCAATGATATATGCTGTAGATCCATGTAGCCTTGTAACCTTTCTTCAGAGCAAGCTCAAGCTCGACAGAACATATTGTTGCGACATATCCTCTCTTCTTTTCATCGTGAGGGTAAAGTTTATGGCCTAATTTTTGAGTGTACTTTTTGTCTAGTCTCCAGGGCACGCCTACTGGTGATTCAATTGCGCATTGATGACAAAGGTGAAATATCTGTAAGTTTTTTCAAGTTAAGAATTAGGTATATCCAAACCAGTTTTCCATTGATTCTTTCAGGAATAATTGGTAGAAAAAGATCGTCGGGAGGAACGATGAACAATTTAAAAATTCCTCTGTATGGCTGTAGTTGTTCAGGTCGTCGCCAGTCGACTGCTTCGTTTAATTGAATAACTATGGATTGCCTGTTTTTTCAAATTCAATATTATCTTTTGGCAAAAATTTTCCTATCGGGTAGAATCCGTAGAAATTAACAGCGGGGTAGAGACTAACCACATCGTAGCAAGTAATTTCATAATCTTCTGAAATTCCTTCTTCCTCAAGATCGCATTTCAAGCTTTGAGGTCCTGTTCTTCCACCCTATTAAGATGTTAAATTTTGAATTTTGATAGGAAAATTACGTGGAAAGCATCTCTTGGAAAAAGAGGCCCTGAATCAATCATTTCATTGAAAAACAAGGTCATTTTTTCATCTTCCTCCAATTGCTTCCTAGCTTGACACTCCCAGATCATTAAAGGTCGCATTCCTTCTTCCTGAATAAGCCTTCTTCGTTCTTTAATTTTATCATTGTTGTAAAGCGCTGTTTTCCCATTCAAACAGATCTCATGTGGCTTGTAAAGGCTGAAATAATATATAATACATAATATTATTTTTTAAAACCAGCTATGCCCATGCCAAGCACATCCCAGAAATTCAAATGCAATATCTTCATCTTCGGGCTCTTGTCGGGCATATCCATCCAACATTAACTTTTCTCCATTTGAAAGATGGAGTCTGAATTCTCCCAAATCGCTGTCCCTGTGTTGAAATTGCAATCCTGTTGTATGAGCCAGCCATTTAATATATTTCAAAGCAATTGCAGATTGATTACTATCCTTGTGGTATCCTTAATATATATTTGATGAAAAATAACTAATTGGCTGACCGTTGTCTGGAATAATTCCTACTTCCATTTCGTTTAGATAGTTTATACCTAAAATTAAATGTTTTAAATACATGAATTTTTCATACAGAAATGTCGAAGACAAGCACTAGGCAGTGTAAGTGATGAACATATAACATCATCTCTTTTTGAAGTTTCAATAGCAAGATCAAAAAATAGTCGTTGGAATTTTACTACTGCGTGGGCCAATATTCTAACATCCTGTTCACAGTAAATACCAATCTGCTCACCAAGACAGAAAGGAACTCCCATGTTGTCATTATACCATAAATCAAATTGCTTCCGTCTCTCCTTTCCCATTGATTCTGGATAATAATATTGTCGATCTGGAAGTCCTGGTAAATGTATGTTCATGTTCTTATTAAAATTCCATCCGTGTGGGAAGAATGCCTTTCCACCTTCGTCGATTTCCAAACCAAGAGCTTTTGGAAGTTGTTCTAGTTTCAAAGTCAGCCAATTGAACGAGTCGCGGAATGATATTTTTGGACATACACCTCTTTTTCTTTTTAGTAGAACTTCATATAATTTGTTGCCTAAAATTTTAAATTTTTCACTGTAAAATTATAAAATTCACCAGATCTTGTGATATTTGGCAGTATTCCTGTAACCTTCATGAGTTCACCTAATACCAGATGCATATCATAACGGCTGAAAAAATAAATTTTGTATTTTGATAGAACAAACCCTCCATAATGAGATATGGCATACGTAGCTTGTTTTCGTTCAATTCCTAAGTCATATATTAACCAGTCAATAAATTCTCTTAGTGGATTAATGTAGGTTGCTGCTGTCCATGTATTGAGTCGTTTTCTGTTTTTGCCGCAATTAATACAATTATTCGTATACTCCGACATCCAAAGTTCATCTTTTTCAATGCATCTTGAGCAGAGAAGCAATGCCTAAGTGTTATAATAGGATCAATTGATTACACATTCTTACCGAAACACAATTCACATTATGCATTTGGTAATTTTCATCGTTCGGTGGTGGCATGCCCTTTGAAATTTTGCTGCATCTTTCCCACTCATCTTCATCACGTGTAGGAGAGATTAATGTGCATTCAAAGTCGAAAATTATCTTAAAATAATTTTATTTTTGAAACTAATTTTTGTAAACCAGCAAATAATCCTTCGGCTTTTTAGGAACAATAGGTTGTACAAAACAATTCTCATCAGCTTTATGTATTGAATGGCAAAGTGAACAAAAACGTGTGTTACAGACATGCCCTTGTTTTTCATCTTCTTCAGAATCTTCTAGAGATCTTTGCTTTGCTTCCATACTTTTGCGATAAATTTGTCCGCACTCCAAGCATCTTTATGAAAAATATTTGAATTTTTTTCTAGAAATATACCGCTTATAGTATTCACATATATTTCTCATAAGGTGTTCTTGGAAGCATTTTGGGTTTTTGAATATGTTGTTGCATTGATTACATTCTTTAAAATATCCATCCATCTCTTCGCAAGGATAGTCTATTCCCATACCGCAACAACGAGGGCATTTTGATAAGCATTTTGCACTATGGGCCGTTTTACGATCATAGGTCACTTCACAATCAAGACAGTAGTAATTTGTTCCAAAAAATGTGTTGATCTTTCGTATTCCATAAAAATGTTCATCTTTTAGGTAAAGACATAAGTCATTGCACGCACGAGCTTTGGCTTTCCAAACAGGTTTAGTTTTTCCAAATTCACGAAAAATTGCTAAACGATATTGTCCTGGGTATTCAAGATCAAGAAGTTTTTGTATAAGAGGAACATGTTCTTCTACACTGTATATCTTCTCATTCAGAGGATAAGAAATTTTGTATTCTTTCATTTGATTAATCATATTCTTAATTAGAAGAATTCTTTTGTACTTTGCTTTGCTAGTACTTCCTTGAGTTAATCTTTGGAATTGAACCTTGTCTTGTGGTGTTTTGGTATCCGAAATATATTTTATTGTAAGTTGAACTGCCAGAAGCAAACAATGACGATTAAAAGGCGGGGGCAAATCCTCGTTTTGAACCTGAAATATTTAATTCCAAAATTTCAGAATAATGTTTTTTCATACATTAATTAAATTGTTGATATCAATTCCTTGATGAATTTCCCTTCGTTTTCGTCCCGCTCCTCCGTTATCTCTGCGTGCTAGTTTTAAAGCATCCTCATGTGATGGGCCCATTACAATCTAAAAAGAAATTTTGTATATTAATTTTATTAATTACCTCTATATTTATTGGCTGGCTGTAAATGGAAGGCCTTCCCATACGTTGACCGCTTTGATCAACAGTGTCAAACTGCTCCATCACAACCTCTGGTGTATTCTGAGCGAGTCCTCGATAAGGAACTTGAATTGGCCTTTCCAGGATCGCGCTTCTGATTATTATTGAACACTTCTGAGATGTTGCTCCTGCTGCCTGATAAGCTCGAACAAAGAAATGGTCAATAAGTTGTTCAAGCAAAAGTTCTCTCCCTTGTGGTGCTTTGTCAGCATTTATAACTGTGAAGGCCGCCCTTAATGTTTTAGTTTATTTTAATTTATTTTATTTGAATACCTGAAAACACCAATTTTAAAACGAGAACTTTGGATTTGTTCTACTGAATCTTCACGAAAGTAGTTTTCGATGTTGTGGGACATCATTTTGTTCTTTAGTAATATTCTAAAAATAGTTAGAAAATATTTATAAGTTAATACACTGAAAATACTAGCACGTAATGAACGCACTAAAAATTTAAAAAATAGATTAACAGGTTTATTCAACACGGAATAAAAAATCATTTTGAGTAATTGTTGAAGTTCTTATTAATCATCGCATGAAATTCCTTGTTCATAAAACGACATTGAGAACAGCACTTAAATCATTAGTAAATATTTTTTATTAAATTAATAATACAATGTAATGCAGTTCATACATAAGGCCTCGATCATATGCAAGCCCTAATTTTTGAAGAAATAAGTCACGAGCTTGGCACTTTTGAAGCTTGTCACACTTCTCACACTGCAAAAATTACTTGTAATTTTATATTACATACATTTGTACCTGGTATAGAATCCAAGCGCATTTAAATCGTAAGAGCTTCTTGTCCGCATCATCCTGGCAACTATCTCCCAATGAATATGAAAGGACACCTGCTTCTTAAATATCAAATGTTGTTTACCTATTCATTTTTATTTACCTATTTCAAGTGTTGATTTTGAGCTTCCTTCTTTGAATTCCTTTGATCGTAGTTTTTTGCTACCTTCTAAATAATAAGTTTTTGTTTTAATATATAATTTACCCTTGATTTTTGCATAATAATCTGCCAGAAGAATGTTCTTATCAAGATCATCTCCACATAAACGAATTGAGAGCACAAAATTTTCCCCGTTTCCAAATTTAAAGAGATATTCTTCTCGGTTCTGCTGATCCTCTTTGCACTTATTACAGAGCTGAATGAATATACCCAATCTTTGTTGTTTGAGCAAATCTGACTGAACAAGCAGCTGTTTAGGTACAAGCTTGTAGCATTTTTCGGGACCTAATATTTTATTTTATTCTAGATATAAAATTTACGTTTCTTTTGTTCGCCGCGTAAACGCTTATAATCCTCATCATCAATGCCAATTGGTATTATTTCATCGTCTTCCGGATCCTCTGACTGCTCTTCATCATCCTCTTTTCTCCATTGTCCGTTGGCTGTCTGTATATTTGTTTATGCTTGAATTATTTTATTTTCTAATACTTTTTTAGTAGATTCTTTAGCCTTTTTAGGAGTTGTTTCAGATCTTGCTGATTTTCCACTAAGCGAGCTGACAGAATTAGTGGTAGATCGTCGTCGACGTGTTTCTGAAGCGGCTCTTTTCTTTTTCTGCTCTTTAAGAAAAGAGCGTATTTCATTAAGTTCTGTTGTGCTCAGGTCCTCAACATTATCTTAAATCAAGTTAGGGTTATGTGTAAAATAGTAGAGTTACCTTCATTCTCGTTGTTTTTATTCACGCGGTTGTAATCACCCTCAGATTCTAGAGGGTTTACACTACATCCTGCACTAATGAAATATATGAGATAAATTTTAGATTTAAAAACTTGCCTTTTTCTTTATTGTCTTTACCCATATCTTCAAAAGGCTCGTTTTCTTTATTAGAATCGGTCATAAAATAAGAGAATCTCGGTACTAAAAATTTTATTAAAATATGCGAACAAAAATAATTAAAAGTTAACAATGAAAAGTTGGATTTAATTGTATCTAACGATTTAATTATTATTTTTCGAAAATAAGTTAAAATTACTGATGAGGAAATCTATAGATAAATTTTGGAAAAAAATAAAAAAAATATTAAATTAAGCAAAAATTAATTTTCTAATAGATGAGGGTCTGAATAAGATTTTAACTAAATAAATAAACAAAATAAATAAAAATTCTGCTTAAATTTTATAACGGGATAAGGATTTAAAGAAAATTTAAATGTAAAAAAAGGATAAAGGCGGGATTAGGGTAGCCTAAGTAGGATATGATAAAATATAAGGGATAATATTTTATAAATAGAATAGACTAGTAAGATAGGATAAGTAAACGAAGGATATTTTATTAAAGTAGATGAGAGAATATTTTGAAGAATGATTTTTCTTGCTAGAATTTTGGGGTTTTTATAGCTACTCGCCGTGCATGGACTTTGGCCTTTGTTTGATGCCCTTTGTTTACCAACCTTAATATTTTTCTGGCCTTCTCCGTTTGTCGGGCGCTATTTTTGGCCTTTCCTTTGTTTACTCGCTCTTCTTATTTTTTATGTCGTTCGCTGATTGGCTGGGAATTTATTATTTTTTGAATTGCTCACTTTCCCGCTATATTTTTTTGCCTTCGCCGATTAGCGGGAAATGTATTTTGGACTGTGTGCGCCCTTCCTTTGTTTACCTGCACTTTCGATTATGTCTGGGAATTACTTCTTGCCTGCTTATCCTTTTGTTTACCCGCTCTATTTTTATGATGTTCGCTGATTGGCTGGGAATTAATTTTGCCCTTCTCTTTGTTTACCAACTTTATAATTTACATTAAATTCTATTAATTTTAATTTTTTTCTTTTTAAAAATTTATTTTATTAATATTTTTATTTATTTTATTAAAATATTTATTATTTAAAATATTTGTTATTTTAGTTTTTAATGTTTCTAATTATTTAAAAATTTAAATAATTTATTTTTATTTAACTTCCGTTATAATTTTTAAATATTTTATTATAGATGGATTTTTTGTTTTCTGCCATTATTTTTAACAAAGTAAGTTTAATATACATATATTTTCTACACGTATAAATTATCTCCGAAAACAGGATTTTAAATTAAATATTTTTTAATTGTGTCTGTTTAAAATCTTTTAGGATTCTTTTGGATTTTTTAAAAATTTTGTGGGTTTAGCTAGGCAGGTTTGGGTTTTAGAGGGAAAATCTTAGGGAAAGTTATATATTTTTAGTGCGTTTTGCCTTGTAGGTTTAGGCTTTATAGGGAAATTATATTTTTTGAAAAATTTTTAGTGGTTTTTGCTTGTGGGTTTGGGTTTTTAAGGGAGAAATCATAAAATTTTATCGGTAATGCCTTATGGGTTTGGGTTTTTAAAAGGAAAAAAGAAGAGATAATTTTTGTGGATTTCGCGAAAAAAATGTTATAAAACCTGGTTATATACTACTGTTTACTTGATTATAATAAGTATAAAACGAAGCAAACACACTATAGTGCTGAACTCTATTCGTTTACTTGATTATAATAAGTATAAAACAAAGCAAACACACTATAGTGCTGAACTCTATTCGTTTACTTGATTATAATAAGTATAAAACAAAGCAAACACACATAGTGCTGAACTCTATTCGTTTACTTGATTATAATAAGTATAAAACAAAGCAAACACACTATAGTGCTGAACTCTATTCGTTTACTTGATTATAATAAGTATAAAACGAAGCAAACACACTATAGTGCTGAACTCTATTCGTTTACATGATTATAATAAGTATAAAACAAAGCAAACACACATAGTGCTGAACTCTATTCGTTTACTTAATTATAATAAGTATAAAACAAAGCAAACACACTATAGTGCTGAACTCTATTCGTTTACTTGATTATAATAAGTATAAAACAAAGCAAACACACTATAGTGCTGAACTCTATTCGTTTACTTGATTATAATATCACACTATAGTGCTGAACTCTATTCGTTTACTTGATTATAATAAGTATAAAACAAAGCAAACACACTATAGTGCTACACTCTATTCGTTTACTTGATTATAATAAGTATAAAACAAAGCAAACACACTATAGTGCTGAACTCTATTCGTTTACTTGATTATAATAACACACTATAGTGCTGAACTCTAGTCGTTTACTTGATTATAATAAGTATAAAACAAAGCAAACACACTATAGTGCTGAACTCTATTCGTTTACTTGATTATAATAAGTATAAAACAAAGCAAACACACTATAGTGCTGAACTCTATTCGTTTACTTGAATATAATAAGTATAAAACAAAGCAAACACACTATAGTGCTGAATTCTATTCGTTTACTTGATTATAATAAGTATAAAACAAAGCAAACACACTATAGTGCTGAACTCTATTCGTTTACTTGATTATAATAAGTATAAAACAAAGCAAACACACTATAGTGCTGAACTCTATTCGTTTACTTGATTATAATAAGTATAAAACAAAGCAAACACACTATAGTGCTGAACTCTATTCGTTTACTTGATTATAATAACACACTATAGTGCTGAACTCTATTCGTTTACTTGATTATAATAAGTATAAAACAAAGCAAACACACTATAGTGCTGAAATCTATTCGTTTACTTGATTATAATAAGTATAAAACAAAGCAAACACACTATAGTGCTGAACTCTATTCGTTTACTTGATTATAATAAGTATAAAACAAAGCAAACACACTATAGTGCTGAACTCTATTCGTTTACTTGATTATAATAAGTATAAAACAAAGCAAACACACTATAGTGCTGAACTCTATTCGTTTACTTGATTATAATAAGTATAAAACAAAGTTTACTTGAATACAAAGTTTACTTGAATCTATTCGTTTACTTGAATATAATAAACAAAGCAAACACATTATAGTGCTGAACTCTATTCGTTTACTTGATTATAATAAGTATAAAACAAAGCAAACACACTATAGTGCTGAACTCTATTCGTTTACTTGATTATAATAAGTATAAAACAAAGCAAACACACTATAGTGCTGAACTCTATTCGTTTACTTGATTATAATAAGTATAAAACAAAGCAAACACACTATAGTGCTGAACTCTATTCGTTTACTTGATTATAATAACACACTATAGTGCTGAACTCTATTCGTTTACTTGATTATAATAAGTATAAAACAAAGCAAACACACTATAGTGCTGAACTATATTCGTTTACATGATTATAATAAGTATAAAACAAAGCAAACACACTATAGTGCTGAACTCTATTCGTTTACTTGATTATAATAAGTATAAAACGAAGCAAACACACTATAGTGCTGAACTCTATTCGTTTACTTGATTATAATAAGTATAAAACAAAGCAAACACACTATAGTGCTGAACTCTATTCGTTTACTTGATTATAATAAGTATAAAACAAAGCAAACACACTATAGTGCTGAACTCTATTCGTTTACTTGATTATAATAACACACTATAGTGCTGAACTCTATTCGTTTACTTGATTATAATAAGTATAAAACAAAGCAAACACACTATAGTGCTGAACTATATTCGTTTACATGATTATAATAAGTATAAAACAAAGCAAACACACTATAGTGCTGAACTCTATTCGTTTACTTGATTATAATAAGTATAAAACGAAGCAAACACACTATAGTCTGAACTCTATTCGTTTACTTGATTATAATAAGTATAAAACAAAGCAAACACACTATAGTGCTGAACTCTATTCGTTTACTTGATTATTATAAGTATAAAACAAAGCAAACACACATAGTGCTGAACTCTATTCGTTTACTTGATTATAATAAGTATAAAACAAAGCAAACAACTATAGTGCTGAACTCTATTCGTTTACTTGATTATAATAAGTATAAAACGAAGCAAACACACTATAGTGCTGAACTCTATTCGTTTACATGATTATAATAAGTATAAAACAAAGCAAACACACATAGTGCTGAACTCTATTCGTTTACTTAATTATAATAAGTATAAAACAAAGCAAACACACTATAGTGCTGAACTCTATTCGTTTACTTGATTATAATAAGTATAAAACAAAGCAAACACACTATAGTGCTGAACTCTATTCGTTTACTTGATTATAATAAGTATAAAACAAAGCAAACACACTATAGTGCTTAACTCTATTCGATTACTTGAATATAATAAGTATAAAACAAAGCAAACACACTATAGTGCTGAACTCTATTCGTTTACTTGATTATAATAAGTATAAAACGAAGCAAACACACTATAGTGCTGAACTCTATTCGTTTACTTGATTATAATAACACACTATAGTGCTGAACTCTATTCGTTTACTTGATTATAATAAGTATAAAACAAAGCAAACACACTATAGTGCTGAACTCTATTCGTTTACTTGATTATAATAAGTATAAAACAAAGCAAACACACTATAGTGCTGAACTCTATTCGTTTACTTGATTATAATAAGTAAAACAA